ACTTACCATATTTTATTCACATTTGTGAAATAATCCTACATTCGAGGAAGGTGGTTATAGAGACATATCTTATAATGTGAATAATAAAGAAAACATAACTAGGCGGGTTCACTTCCAATTATTCTATCTATTTTCTTATAGTCGGCTAAGCCACTTTTTAGGGATGGATGTTCATGCTTATGAGTTGTCCGGTTAGGGAAGCTACATTAATTTCTATTGCCATGACTTCCCCTTGATCTCGTTGGAGTGCTTGATATATTCTCTTTGCTTCTCCAGATTGGCATTGATGTTGACCGGTTCTCCATATAGCATATGGTATTTGAGTTTAAGATGCACCAATAAGGCTACGACATCCAAGGTGACAACGAATGGTCTTCCCAAGATGCAATTGTAGGCGCTCCTACATGGAACCACTAAGAATTGAAAAATAAGAGCCAAAATATCTTTCCCTTTGCCTACTGATATCATTAGCCCGACTTACCCCCACAGACAGGTGGTTGTACCGTTGAATGTATGCATGTCATATCCTTAATACTACCATATGTTTCCTCTTTCTAGGCTAATTTTCTCAAACAAATCAGAATATATGATACTCCACGAGTTGTTGTCATAGATTAGAATCAAGGAGACATCAAACAGTCCGATTGTAGTTGTAATCACCAAGGGGAAGATTACGTTTGAAGTTTCTCTCACTTTCTTAGAGTCTTGAAACTAACATAGGTTGATCTGGGATTTTCACAGACGAGCTTCCATCTTTTTTATGGACGGCCAGCATCTCAAAAATCTTTCTCTTCATGGTCCTCTTGGAGGGGAGATTTTATTGGGGCGCTCCTCTAATAATGGCAGCAATATACTGACGCTTCCCTTTGCTGGCCTCTTTATGTTCACCGTTGGTCCCCACTTCTACAACTCTTTAAAGAGATTTATACTTGGGTGACTCATCCCTTTCTCTTTCACTCCTTTCACGTACTTAGACAGTCAACCTACCTATAGCAACCCCTCAATAAGATCATTTAATTGGATGTTATCGCCGATGTTATAATAATCACTTGCAAATTTCTATTCAGTCTTCTACTTTCCTTTATCATCTGGATTCCCATAAGGTTTCCCATTATTTTGATCATTCCCTTTCTTCTTAATAAGACTCTTATAGTGAGAAGATTGAGCTCTTCTATCCTCATCATATATTCTGCACTTGTTCACCAACATAAAAAACTAATGAATTTTTTGATACCCAATACCTTGTTTGGTCTCGGGTCGCAAGCCGCTTTCGAACTTGATACATTCGATCCTTCAGCTTTCACACTATTATAGTGTGGAAAAAATTTCACCAGTTCCTCGAAGTTAACAGCATACTCGGCAACTGTCGAATTCCCTTGTTCTAGCCCAAGGAACTCAATCTCTTTCTTACTGTGCATGTCCTATGAAAAGTAATTCTCTAGAAAGTTAGTTTTAAACACATCCCAAGTAACCTCAGTACCTTCATATTCCACTTTCTTATGCGCGTTGTCCCACCAGTCTTCGGCTTCCTCTGACTACATATGAGTACTAAGCAACATTTTCTGGTCCTCAGTGCAAACCATCACTCGAAAAATCTTCTAAATCTCTCTGAGTCATGTCCGAGCACATTTCTGATCATGTCTGCCCTTGAAGGTAGGCAGATTGTTCCTTTGAAACTTCCATAGTCCACGAAATTCATCACATATACCCTGTTGATTTAGTTGGGTATGTAGTTCCTAAGTGATTGTCGTTAAAGCATCAACAATAGCTTGGTTGTTTCTTCCTCCAGCCATATTTTTGCACACCGGTAAACGACTATTAGAAGAAACCTACATCAACATTGTTCATAAACATGTCGCATACTAAGGAACAAACAACATAACAAAACCTGACTGGATGGACCAAACATGCTCTAATACCACTATTGTAACACCCTAAAACCCTCACTCATAATCATGCAAAATAAATAAAGTATAAATGATTATTTCACATGGGATGTCACACAATCTCCACATCCGACCTACTCTGTAACACTTATTAAAATAAAATGTTTAATTCAAAATATTTGTCATCACATGCTCGCATTTACTTAAGCTTATCGCAACATAATTACTCATTAAAAATAACCTCTAATTCAAATAAGTTGAATATAACTTTTATTTAAAATTAAACTCTATCAGGGAAATATGCATTCAATATTAAAGCTACTCAAAACCATGAGTTATATCAATTATCTTGCAATAATAACTCATAATAAAATAAAACATAATGTTCACTCACCCTGTGTTACAAATCAGAGCAACGATAATCTATATTGCAAAAAACTGGAAAGAAAAAATTTCCTGAACACCATCCATCAGCTATAAAGTAGCTGCTGATCTTCCTACTTGTCTTTACACTAAGAATGAGCACATAACACCACGACAAAATAAAGGAGTGAGAATACGCTTAAAATATGTATTGGTACAAAAGAATGCAAGGGTAGCCTAAAGTAAAAACATAAACTTTTATACATTTTAATGACATAAGTCAATACAAAAATTACTCAACAATACCCGAAATAACTCATTTGCACATCCTTTATATAATGCAATGCAACAACGACTCAACTCATGCATGTGGTACCAACTCAACAAAGGTTCTTCATATGATTTGGGTCTCAACATCTAAACCCCGAGCCCCTCGTCTGAACTCCGGAAAAATCACTATAATCTGAGCTCCATACAAATTGCCTATTTCACAATGCATGTACAATATAATGCACAAACACAACAACTCAATATTAGATTTGCAGTTCCACATCTAACTGTAAATAACAACATCAAAGTAGTTCTCACAGTTAGACTATCCACCACAATCTCAATTATATGTTCATCACATTATTATCATCAACTCAATTCAAAATCATTAGGTCAATCAAACAATTCAATTACTCAACCAAAATTCATCAAAACACATCAAACAACAGCCAAACATCAATCTCTTGACAAAACAACACTAATAATCCAACTCAGCATGCCAAAATGCACCCACTGCCACGATGATGGACAACCCGTCACCTAGGCGACAACCGTCATCATCCTTTTCCCCCAACCGTCACCCATGTGACGCCGACAAGGTTCAACACTTTCTTGGAGACTATGACGGTCTCCCCGTCAGACCGCCAACGTCCGTCAGTATTCTAAGGCACATGACGACTAGGTCGTCAAACAGGTGATGCCCGCCACCCGTGTTACAGAAGCATAATTCGTGTTCTTCTACAGAGTTCATTCAGAACTTCGGTTTTCCACCCCAAACCCTCCAATCGATCATAAACATCCGATAAATAATATGTTATCATTAAAACATCATATACTTATATATTAAAACACATAATTTCATCGATTAATCACAACTTTTAACACTTTATTCATCGCATTAATGCCATCCATATGAACATAACTCATGCCACTTTTATGAATACAAACTAATTTGCATGGTAAATTATCACACGAAATTCAGGATAATTACAACAATTGCATTATGTTATCATAATAGTTTCGTTCATATCAACAAAGATTCAACTTTGGAAGAAAATAAAGAAAAACCTAATGGATATTAAGGACTTCTCTCTACCAATCATGTAATTAACACCATATTTAGAGTAATCCTCCTCTTACCTTGAATTTCTACCAGCAACTAAGTTTTGGCTATGGTGATTTCCTCTCAAACTCTTGTCTTCACTTTGCTCTCACTTTGCCTCTTCTCCCAAAATAATACATACTGACCATGGTTAGATTTTCTAATCCATTTTTATTAAATATCCTAATTTAATCTTCTAATAATTATATGTTGGCCCCAACTTATTATAATTCTCCCCACTTGTCTTATTTTTCTCATAGGTTATATTTTCCATCCAAAATCTCTATTTTCTTTTAATTTTAATATTATTTAATTAATAATTAAACACTTTTCTACCAATCTCAACATAGCATATAACACCAAATCATCAATCTAATACATATAAAATTCATTTAAATAATTAAATAAAATATAAATTCAATTAAATAAATAATTTTAAAAAAATGGAGTATTACTTTTAGGGTCGAACACAAATAATAATTTTTGAATTTATATTACAATAAGATTTTTTTTGACCCGATCCTAAAAAATTGAACCCGTTAGTGCCGACTTGTTTTGACAACATTGGTCTCATTTTGGGTCACTTTGTTTTAACTTTAAAATATGATTTTTTTTTTATATTTTTGAAAAGAGATTCTATAAAAATGTTTTTTAAAATATTAAAAGTTTTTTTAGATTTATTTTTTATAAATTAAAAAACAAATTTTGACATACTATAACGTAACCACATATTATTAAAAATCAAAACATAATTAAAATTACAGTTTTAAAAAAAAATTATATCTCAAAAATGATTTTTGTGAAAAATTATTTAAAATAACTTTAAAATTAAATAATTTTTTTAAAATATTGACATCTAAATTTTTTTTAATAACATAATAAAATACATAAAATAACTATTCAAACAAAAATCTTATTTAAAACTTTTATGAAAAATATCTTTATAATAATTTTTTACATCAAAATATTTTATACTATAAAAATCACTTAAAAAAAATCCAAAACAAATTGGTTTAGGTTTCTTTTAACATTTTATATTAATTTAGTTCAAAATATTATTACACATCAAATAGAATGGTGTGGTTCTGTCACTGAATAGTAAGAAAGAGTGAGACTTTGATTTAATGGGATGTCCATGCATCTGTCACAGAACAGTAAGAATGGCAATATAACAATGCATTAGGTAGGGGTGAACAAAAATTAATATTAAAGATAACTCTTTTATCTTAAAATGCATACATAAGAAGAAAAGAAAAAGCATGGCCTCCACTCTCCGTTATTTTACTCTTTCTACTTTATCTCTCTTAGCCAAATAAAAAAAAATTATACATTTCTCTTCTGAAGTCTTTAACTCTCTTCAAACAAACAAACTGGTAAAAATGGTGAATATCAAAAGAAAACGTCACCTTATACACACTAGTGAAAGTAGTGATAATGATAGCATCAACTATCCATCTTGCATGCAAAATTCTAACAATGAAACTTCTCAGCATCACCACCCTCTTGGATGGATTGCAAGAGCTGAGAAATGCTTCAAGGTTAATTCATTAACCTAATCTCTTCTCTTCTCTTGTAGTTTCTAAAGTTATTTTTTTTCAATGCATGTTTGTTAGAATGTGATTTTCTTTTGTATTTGTTATTTTTATAATAGAAACAAATGCATGCAAAAACAATTGAACTTGAAAGACAAAGAGGTTTGCACCAAAATCTGGAATTTGAGCTTCAACAACTCAAAACAGCTCTAAACGTATTGAACATCTTTGAAGATGATGATGATGAGGAGGAGGCAGACTTGGAGTTTTCCATCAAGTTTAGGGCTATGGAGAATGATCTAACAATGAAGAAAGAGTTGATCGAAGAACTGGAAGAATTGAATCATGTTCTAACTCTTAAAGAACGTGAGATGAATGATGAATTGCAGAGGGCTCGAAAAACATTAATCAATGTAAGTTTATATAATCTCATTTCTCAGCTTTATCGTTTGCTAACTCAATTTAAAATGTTATCTGTTTAATGAGAGGTATGTTTACTCTATGCAGTTAAATTTAGTACAGGTTATTTTTTATGGTTTGGAAAATGGCTTGGGTAGAAAAGTGGGATTTCAAATTGTGGCTTGTGTAATAAAGTGGAATTTCAAGTTGTTTAATTTAATGGTGAAGACAACATGTGCTTGTTTTACTGGTTATGTCATTATTCTCTGCAGGTTTTTTACATTACATTTGCCTATATAACATGTTTTGATTTAGTGTTTTTTATGTTCTTATCACTGTGATTTTATGAAGCTGAAACTTCTTACTTTTTCGCATAAGCTCGTTTCAGAGATGGCCATGGCAATAGCATAATACCTTTTTCTGCTTTGCAGGGCATTGAGGAGTTATCTGTTCCAAATAATATTGCTGTGAAGAGACTGGGAGAACTTGACAGCGAGCCGTTCCTCGAAGCTATGAAGAAGAAATATAAAGGGGATGAAGCTGAAGTGAGAGCTGCCAACCTGTGTTCACTATGGGAATTCTATATGAAAGATCCAGACTGGCATCCATTCAAATTTGTCACAGTTGATGGCGAAAAAAGGGTACATTTTAGTTTAAATTAACACACTGTGCTCTTGCTTCATTTGGGACAGTTTATTTCTAATATAACTGGCATCCATTCAAATTTGTCACAGTTGATGGCGAAAAAAGGGTACATTTTAGTTTAAATTAACACACTGTGCTCTTGCTTCATTTGGGACAGTTTATTTCTAATATAAAAAGTTTGTACAATAGTTTCAAATTCATTTTATAACATCTAGTGCTCGCACTTGGAAATCGGGTTACTTGCATTTTTCATTTCAGGAAATTATTGATGCTGCTGATAAAAAGCTGAATGGACTTAAGAGAAGCGTTGGTAAAGCGGCATATAATGCGGTGGTGGCAGCTCTAACAGAGTTAAATGAATACAATCCCAGTGGGCGATATGTAACCTCAGAATTATGGAACTATGATGAGGACAGAAGAGCAACTCTGCAAGAAGGAATACAATTTCTGTTGGACAACTCGTCAAACAAACGCAAGAAAGAGTCAGAAACAATGGGAAGGTTTGTATATAAGTTATAATAATCTATACAATGCATTTATGTGGATACTGCATTTACTGTCAAGAACTTACATGTATTAGAGTCTCTCAAATCTCCTTTGATATGATTACTGCTTCTGTTTTAATTACTAGCCATGCTAATACCGTTTGAATTACAGGAAGGGTAATTAATGATTGAGGAGCAGAAGAAATTCAAGAAAGTTCTTAGTTAAGGGAGAATGCTTTTTGCATTCTAGTTGGATAATTTGTGATAAGTTGAATTAGTTAATGTTACTAGACAATTGGGAGAGTCCAACTGCAAAACTGTTATCAACTTTTGTAATATCTCTCTAGATTGGGACAAAATCAAACTGATGTTAATAGCTTTTGTATTATATATCTCTAGCGTACAAAATTATAACTACAATTAATTTGCATGTTCTATTTCACAGTAACGAGTATTTTGCAAAATTATTATAATAGTAGAGGAACAATGAGAGGATAATGAGAGGATAATGCCGGTGAAAAGGTGCACTTGTGTCTGAGCTTTTGTACTTTTTGGTCCCTTTGAAAGCTTGTCTCAGGTCCTGTAAAAATCCACTTTGGGGTTCTTACGTATCACCATTAGCACTCTTGACCAGGAATCTGCAGCAATATTTTCCTTCTCCGGCTTGTATTAATTAGTAAATTCATAGCCAAAGAATTTGTGCAACCATTCTTGCTGGTCTGGAGTTTGCAGTGATAGGTCCAACAGGCTTCCAAGACTCTTTTGGATGATTTTGATTATGGCCTAGCAAGTAGTGTCTGAATTTTGTTAATACCTCAGTGTTGGCCAACAATTCTTTGAAGTATTCTTCAGCATTCTAGGTGTCTGTATTTTTTGTTGTAAAATATGCAACTAGATGTCCATTTTGGTGCAATATATTATCCGCTCATATTCCTGATGCATCAATCTCAGAAGATAAAGGGTTGCTGGATGTTTGGCCGGGAAAGTACATGTGCTGAAACTATGGCATGTTTCAGCTAATTGAATGCCTCCTCATTTTCATCTTTCCAACAAAAAATATCTATTTTCAAGAAATCGGTAAGAAGGGTACACTTTCTGAGGACAGGCTGGAATATCTCATTCATCAAGCATTGAAATGTTGCTGGAATATCTCATTCATCAAGCATTGAAATGTTGTAGGTGCGATGGTTAATCCGAATGGCATCACCGACCATTCATAGTGACCATGATGAGTCTTAATGCTATCTTGAGTTTTTCTTTAGGCTTAATTTGTATGCTATCTTGATAACTTGACCTAAGGTGGTTTATTCGAGATTTCGAGTTATTAGAATGATTTTTTGTTAAGCTCAATAAGACATTTTGAGTTACAAATTACTACAAGTTAAATTCAACATTAATTCAATGACTATAACATAAATTCAAATTATAACTTAAATAGCAATAGTATTATCAATTACTATCAATGACCTTCCAATAAGAATAACTTTATTAGTGCAACCAACTTCTCAACTTTCTTAACTTTGTAACATACTCATGGACACACTAACTTCTCAACCTTTATTGTTATATACGTGAGTAGAATGGCATAAGACCCTCAGACAAGGGAGTGTACCTCATAAAACAAATGAATGAAAATAAGAAACAGAAAAGTTTAGATATAAAAAAGCCTGTCAAGTTATGGTAATTATCAAAGTTTACATAAAACAAATGAGTAAAAATAAAAAACAGATGGTAATTATCAAAGTTAACAAGAAAAAAGAGAGAATTATTCTAGCAGCGAGAAATCAAATTGAGAACCTCAATAGAAACAAAATATTATATTTCATGATTGACGAATAATGTATGATATAGTAAATTGCGCAATCTTTAAGTCATGGTGACGAATAATGTTTGATATGGCAAACTGTGCAATCTTGTCTGAAAAAAAATGAAACATGACTAAATAATTGTTTTCTTTCTCTAAATTCCATTTATATTCATGCCTTTAGCTATATCTTATCATATATATACACATTAGATTGCCAAAAATATATGGGTGTAAAGTATATATAATGTTAAGAATGGTTGTAAAGTATATCATTCAAATAAGTTCATTAAGTATCTACATAACATCACCTGCAATAGCAAGCAATTAGCCAACGATAGAGAAAAGCTACCATGAAAAACAACAATTAGTGGGAAAAGATGGTGGAATGGTCATTGTTGGTTTAGGCACAAAATGTTAACAATCTATTTTGTATATACAACCAAACAATATGCTATTGTGATACTGATTCTTTATATAGATTGTATAGATTTACATATTCTTGTCAAAATCTTTCACAATAATATTTATCCAACCTAATAGTATGCTATTGTAATATTCTTATCAACCAAAGAGTATATTGAAATCTAATTACAAACAATTTTTCAAATATATTTATTAGTTTAGAAAATGAAATGCAAGCTAATCTTCCTACATAACAAGATATTAGTTTCTAAAATACATATATAAACTCATAAGAACTTATTTACAACACATGCACATATATAATAATATTTCTACATGATGTCAACACAGACATATACATAATTAAATTCCAACACGAGGTTCATAATCTTTCATGTGGTTCTAATTTTTTATATTTTTAGAAAGCTCAAAATACTCATATATATATATATATATATATATATATATATATATATATATATATATATATATATATATATATATATATATATATATATATATATATATATATATATATATATATATATATAATAATAATCTACCATAAGTTTCACTAGGCACATACTAACAGTCTGTTAAAGAGTCTACCTTTTATATATAAATCCTTAATATGAAATGAGTTATTATACTAATTGGTTTAGGTATTACTAATTTATGGTTCGGGTGTCTTTGGTACCCGTGGTTAAGGGATTAATACTAATTTATGGTTCGGGTGTGTCTGGTACCCGTGGTTAAGGGATTTTTACCCGGTCTGTCCATTAAAAATCACATTAAATTGCATTTTTCACTTGTAGACCCATTTCAACTCACCCATTTTCATTTTTTTTCTTCCGGTTTCAGGCAGTTTAGACAGAGTTAGAATATCTTGTCCACCCCTAGGCCCCACATAGCTCATTCAATAGTTCATCCACCGTCGTCGACATTGAAATGTAAGCGGAAATATTCATGGATATTATATGAGATTAAAACATCAATACTTACTTGTTGAAGTCATGATTCAGAATTCCGAATGGATGAATGACCGGATCTTCCTCTGTATCTCACACTCCCGTTCACAACTTTCAATGGGGCAAGTTATGGAGTCGTCAGTTATGTTTCTGATGCTTTTTATGATTACAGAGGGGACCTAGCCATATAATATATATAACCTTAGTCCCTACCCATTATGGGCCCAAGGTTAAAGCCCACACTTTTACCCACACCAATCAGGTTTCAGATACTCAACCATTAGTTAAAAATTGATCACTTAATCAATTAAAGGGCTTATATATGCACCCCCATTAGAATCACGATTAACCCGTTTTTTACAAATTAAACCACAATTGATTGTAGCCCATAAAATATTAGATAAATCTAACATTCTCCCACTTGGGCAAAATCAATTGTATGACTTTTATTTTAAAATACATTTTGAAAACGACTCTCGGGTTAATGACTAATTCCTTAAAATGCGGCCGCATTTTAAGAAAATCCATGATTCCAGGTGCAGTATCTGAATATGACTCCATCCAACAAAAGTTAATCAGTATTGAATCACGACGATTATTATGTCCTTCATTGACATAAAACCTTTCGTGGTTACAAATACTACATACTCCGTCAACTAGTCATCAGTGTGGAGTGTGGCAAGAAAATAACATGCTAATGTGATCCAACAACCATTTGCTATTTTCTTCGTCAGTCCTTAACAATTTCTCTCAAATGCATTAAACACAAAGAAATTGTATGGTTTTACAAACCATAATGCCTCAGCTCCAACATGGCGTCGACCACCGGCACAGTGGTCCTGAAACGCCGAGCTTAAAATCATACTTCAGCTCCAATATGGCATCAACCACCGGTATAGTGGTCCCGAAGACACCGAGCTCAAAATAATAACCATGCCTTGAACTCCAAACTAGTGTCGACCATAGGCACAATAGTTTCGATGACACTGAGTCCCAAATTTAGCAATTTAAATGTAAATAAACAATGACAAATGATAATAATAATAATAATCATTGTAATATCAATTGCTTAAAATAGAAAATACTCGACAATCCAACATTTAAAGTGTCTAAAATAAAATATAACATGATAAAAGAAAATGGCATAAAGAACAAACTCCCACTAACCAAGTACATCAAAAGAACTCACAATGCCCATGTTCTCAACATGGTTTTTGAACACAATGGGTCTAAGTCCCTTAGTTAGGGGATCAGCTAGCATGAAATCAGTACCAATGTACTCAACAACAATGTCATTTTTCTTTACAAGATCTCTTACTGTTAAATACTTCAATTCCAAATGCTTAGAACCGCTAGAAGTTTTATTATTCTTGGAGTAGAACACAGCTGAAATATTATCACAGTAAAGCTTTAGTGGCTTTGCAATGGAATCAACAATACGAAGTCCAGTTACTAAATTTCTTAACCAAATAGCATGAGTGGCAGCAGCATAACAAGCAACAAACTCTGCCTGCATAGTAGAAGAGGCGACAAGAGTTTGCTTTTTACTCTTCCATGATATCGCGCCTCCAACCAACATAAAAATGTAACCAGAAGTAGATTTTCTATCATCAACACACCCAGCAAGATCAGAGTCAGTATACCCAATTATTTCCAAGTTGTCAACTCTCCTAAAAACAAGCATACAATCTTTAGTTCTTTGCAAATATCTCATCACTTTCTTAGCCGCAATCCAATGATCATTCCCAGGATTAGACTAGTATCGTCCCAAGACGCCAACTATGAAAGCAATGTCAGGCCTAGTGCATACTTGAGCATACATCAGGCTGCCCAGTGCACTGTCAAAGGGTTTTCCCTTCATCTCTGCCCGCTTAATCTCATTTTTAGGACATTGATCTTTACTGAATTTGTCTCCTTTAGTAATTGGAACATCTCCTGGCTTACAGTTCTGCATATTAAATCTCTCTAGAACTCTATCAATATAAGCTCTCTGTGACAAGCCAAGCAC